AAGGAGAATGTTACCAAAGAATAAATTTGGCCACAAAGCTAGAAATATTCATTATTTTGTCCTTAATGAAAAATCTGGCTAACTTGCATCATGAAAATGAGACTAGGATTTGACTAAAGAAAGGATTATTAGGTTAGTATTTAGTGCTTTGAAAAAATTTTAGGGAAGGTTTTTAGCATGGTGAAGATGAATTCTATATCCAAATTAAGTTCCTTTGCAGTTCAACATTTATTGAAGGATATGGAGGCAGCAATGACAGGAAGTGATTGGGAATTTGGACCTGTAACTCAGGAGCAGAAGAGCAGAAAAGGAATGAGAAACCATTTAATAGCTACTTTATGCATGACACTTACTTGTCACATCAATTCCAAAAGGTAAATACTGTTTTCTAGTTCCTACTTCAGGCCATACTCTAGCACAATATTTTTTTTTTCCCACTAAGGAAAGGGAAAGCAGGGCTCAAGACAAAGATTACATAATATTTTAAGAGTGATTTACATAATATTTTAAAACTGGGGAGGCAGAAGATGCCCATGACCAGTAACTGTTGCTGCTCAAATGTTATAGGGAAAGACTAGAATAAATGAAAAAGGTCAAACATAAAACCTGAAGGATGACCTTCATTTAATTGTGCACAGAGAGAGAGAAGATAGAGGAAAAACTCTGAAAACAAGCAATCAGAATGTGTAAAGTAAATTAGCATGTACTAGTTTCATGGAGTCTTCACAAGTTTTAAGTTTCAGTACTCTTAACACAGGTGGATATGGATGAAAAATTGAATTGGTTAATAGGAGATATGGGGAAATTATACACTGGTAGCCACTAGTCTCTTGCAGTTAATTACACTTAAATGAACTAAAATTAAATAACATTTAAAAATTCAAAGTTCAGGGCCCTCCCTGGTGGTGCAGCGGGTTAAAGCACTGCACTGAGAAGCTAAAGCCACTTCCGCATGAGTTCAATTCCCGCCTGCCCCGGAGGAGACCACATGGTGTGGCAGACCTCTCCTGACCCACCTGCTGCTCCCCTCAGCAGTGTACTTCGTCGATCTGCCTGTTCTGCTCCCCACTCTGTCTCTGGTGAATCTTCTCACCCTCCGCATCTCTGGCCTGTACCCCAGTTCTATATGAATAAATAAATAAATCTTTAAAAAAAAATTCAAAGTTCAGTTCTTTATTGTACCAGCCACATATAAAGCGCTCCAAAACACATGTGGCTAGTGGCTAGATATTGAACATTATTAGAAATTATTAGAAAACACTTCCATGACCATAGAAAGTTCTTTTGGAAAGTACTAAGTACTTTAGATGCAAAATTGCAGTGGGGAGACTCATGTTTCCCCTTTGCCCCTCTTCAGTAGTTGCTATGTCTGTTCGATGTGACCTCTCCCACTTGCACTTTGCTATTCAATTTTTGCTTTACCCTCTCTTTCCTGGGCAAATGGCTTCCCATTTGGTTCCCAACATTTATTTTTTCCTCCCTTCATATAAATCACTCCTACATTCAATCCTCTCTTGACAGTGCCACTTCTTCTGGCCAGCCAGCCTTAACTTTTACTGATAGGCCAATGTGGTATGGAGCAAATGTAGACTCTTAGATTTCCTACTTTATTATTTCCTTTCCTGCATCACACCATAGTTCAAGGCAGCTAGGATTAAAATAATTATATGTATGTCGCACAAATAACATTTGAGCAGCAACAGTTGCTAATCATTGGCATCTCCTGTGCTTTTTTCTGTTGTTACCGAATCTTTTCCCTTTCCCGGATAGTACCTTGTCCCAGCTAATAGTGTTACTTTACTTTAGCACTGCATTATTCAGTTCAAAAATCTTGTAAGTCTCTTGTCCTCCACTTCTCCACCCTAAGTTGTCATATCACTCCATATCTTCCATGGACTCCTTAGGTCTGCATAACAGAGTGGGGTTAAATCTTCTAGAATCAGGCACAGCCCGCCTTTCCTTCTCACTTCCCTCAACTTTCTTCCACTCATCTTCCTACCGCTCGGTGGTACTCAAACCCCGACCCCTTCCTCTCCCCTTCCCACTGCTCCCCCCCCACCACTTGCTGGCATAGTCACGTTCCTCCCTGTCGTCTGTGAGAGGTCATCTTTCGGACTCAGAGTCCTCTCCCATTCCCTCATAGGATTCAAGAGTTAAGAGTCAAGAGAGAGATGGGGAGGAGTTAGGGGAGAGCAGGGGGAGGTTGGGTTGTCATGGGAGCGTGATCAATGGACCGAGTGACACAGACCTGTTTGACCGTGTCTAATTGGAGACCTACCGAAAAGAATAAGCTTCACGGCCAACTCTTACTACTCTCCCAAATAAAAGGACCGAATTTTCATTGTAATGGAGAACAGATCACTGTCAAAGAAAGACTCGGCCAAGAAAGGGTGGACGTGCGACACTGGATGGCGAAGGGGGTTGTGGGAGCGCCTCTCGTCGTCGCGCAAGCTCATGGGAAATGTAGTGAAGATCTCCCCAACATGGCTGCGCCCAGGTGAGGCGAGGAGAGGAGCAGCTCTGTGGGATAGAGTGGAACGATTAGCCATGGCTAGAGCACCCGTGCCGTGAGAACCCAGCCTGAGCCGAGGCGGAGGTTTGTGGCACGACTTATGGCCAGGCTTGATGGCTGCAGGTCGCCGCTTTCTCTGGGGCTCTTCCTTATCCTTTTATCTGCTTTACCAGCATGGGACTCTTCTCCCAAAGGAGAGGAGGGGTGGGCAGGCGATGATCTGGTGGCGGTACCGGGCATAGGGTGTCTGTCGTGGGTGGGTGTTCCCACAGTTTGTGAAGAGCCCACGTTTGTGTTTGGGCCTGTGTTCACGTGGTGTTGTGTCAGTCTCTGTTCCTCCGGGGTAGGGAACTGGCGGTGGCAACCTGGGGAGTGTTAACTTGAGCGCGCCTGACTTTTTTCTGATCCAGGTCTGCAGCGATGTGAGGGCGTTGCCGGTGGCTTGAGACCACGCTGTTCAAGTTTCCTGTGCTCTTCTTTGATTAATTCTCCAAGCCCTGGGTCTCTGGGTTTGCTTGATTTTGTTTAACAAACCCTTACTGAGTGCCTGCTTGTATGCCAGACACTGAATTCTGGAGCATTAAGTATGTGACAGCCTTCTGTGTGAGCACGACACACACAGACAGCTATAACACAGTGTGAAAACTGAAGAGAGAAAGGAGCCAAGCTAGACTAGACTTCTGAAAAGCAGAATTTTAGGAGATAAGATGGCAAGGTTAGGGTTGATTTGAGTGGCTACTCGGTGCTAGAGCCTGTTGTATGTTGTGTATAAAACCTGTATTAAAAACTGTGGTGCTTTCTCAAATTATTGAAGGAATAACTCTCAGCTCTTTCAGGAGAGACTTTTCTGAGTTGCAAGAGATACCTACTCATAATTGTAAGCCAGATTACCTATGTGCTTTAAGAAATGGAGGTCAGGAGGCTGAGGTGTTGCTGGAACAAATGGTAAAATTTCCTAGAAGCATTGCACTTTCTCGGGCGTTTGAATGGGGATTTGGGGTCATCCTAGGTACTAGGTCTGATGCTGCTAGAAACCATATTAGAATTTGGTCATGTTTCTTAGTGCAGGTTTGGATGGAGTTGTTATGAGCTGGAATAGGCATACCACCCCTCTTTCAAGGATGAAGAACATGAAGCACACAGATGATAAGTATTTAACTCATATAGGGTCATAGGCTAACAAGTGTTAGAACTGAGACTTCAACATAAAGCCTGGACCCCCTATTCTGGGAAAACAAAGAAAAATATGACTTGATCTCTGTTCTCAAATTGCTTATAGTCCTGTGGAAAGGAACAGATGTTAGAACAAGAAATTAGTGTAATGTTAAAATTAACCATTGTGGGCCCTCCCTGGTGGTGCAGCGGGTTGAGGCACAGCACTGAGAAGCTAAAGCCGCTTCCGCATGAGTTCGATCCCCGCCTGCCCCGGAGGAGACCACATGGCGCGGCAGACCTCTCCTGGCCCGCCCTGGCCCGCCCGCTGCTCCCCTCAGCAGTGTGCTTCCTCGATCTGCCTGTTCTGCTCCCCACTCTGTCTCTGGTGAAGCCTCTCGCCTCCCCTGAGCCTCTGGCCTATACCCCAGTTCTGTATGTACAAATAAATAAATCTTTAAAAAAAAAAGAATTAACCATTGTGGCCCTCCCTGGTGATGCAGCCGGTTAAAGCACAGCACTAAGAAGCTAAAGCCACTTAAGCATGAGCTGGATCTAACCCGCCCTGGAGGTGATCCACATGGCACGGCAGACCTCTCCTGACCCATCCGCAGCTCCCCTCAGCAGTGTACTTCTTCTATCTGCCTGTTCTGCTCCCTACTCTGTCTCTGGTGACGCCTCTCACCGCCCCTGCACCTCTGACATGTATCCCAGTTCTGTATGTATAAATAAATTAAAAAAAAAAATAACCATTGAACTTTCCCCTTCATGTCTAATAAGGACTCCTAAAGCCTTTTCTCTAATTCTATACCTATTTGTTCGATATTGTCATCTCCCTGCCAGACACTGCAACATATACCTCAAGCATATTTTATCCTAAACCTGACTTATTACCTGCTTTCCTAAAGAACTTTCCTCACCTTCTTCCTGAATTTGAAGTTTTGAAAAATGATGTCATTGTAACTCTGTGCTCTTTGTTAGTGGCCTCTGACTCCTCCCTTCTTCAGTTGTCCTCAAGATCTGATGACTGTACCTTTTCTTTTGTTTCTCTCTTTTCCCATTTTCTTGTTTTCTTCCTCCCCCTCCCCCCCCCTCCACTAGTTCAGGCCTGTGTTGCTACTTGCCAGGTAGGTTACTGCAGTTCTCTTGCAGGTTAATCTTCCCTCCATGCTGCCCAGCCAGCCTCTTTACTATCTTTATGTTCTATCTCATGCACCGAATTTAGTAGTTGAGCTGGATTACTGGACGTTCTTTCCAAGGCTCCACATTTTCCTTCTATACATAAAGATTAGTAGTCAGACTTCTGACTGTTTTGAACCTTTTTTGGAATCTGATTTTATTTAACCTTCTAAATTTATTTTATTTGCTAACTTTGAAGACTTTCAAGTGGGTGGAGAGGAGGATTGGTGGGTCAGCCAACTTTCTTCAGTCTAAAAACTGTGCCTGTCTCTTGTTGCCAAACACATTCATTCTGATTTTAGCAGCCATTCTCTATTGCTTCACTGGATATCTTCCTTCAATGTGATTATGGTCTTCATATTTTTCAGTATTTGATTCAGGTCTACTTCTGTTTTGACATCTTCTTAGACTTTTCCAGTTAATATTGACTTATTTTTTTCTCTTATTCATGTCACATCTGAAGTGTGGCATTAACATTTAATTATATAACGATGTGTCACAGTCATTGTTTAGTGATTCTGTTTTCCTGACTAGCTCACAGACTTGTTCAAAACATAAACTCTGTATTGTAGGTATTTGCTGCAGGGTGCTGGCACTCATGTGCTCACCTGTGTGCATTTATCTTTGTAGCAAATTTTCCTTGAGCACCAACTATGTGTTGCTTTCTTAGAGTTTACATCCTAACAAATGAGTTATTGCAAATTGTGTTAATTTTTTGAACAATAAAATAGTCTTCTGGAATGATGCATGATAAAGTGCTGATTGAGTTAGTATGAAGTCTTTCTGGGTAAGTACTCAGTAACTGCTTGCTGATGAATGTATTTCAATAAAATGAAAGCCTGTTTATGTGGTGTTCTTTTTTCTGTTACTTAAAGAATTATCAATATAAAAATAGGTAACATGTACAGTTAAACACAATAAAATAAAATCCTATTTAGCTTCAGAAATCTCTGTGAGGCCTTTCTATACTCCTTTCATATTACATTCATTTTCCTCCCCCCCAGAAATAACTTCTCTCCTGGATTTTTGTTTTACATTTCATTGCTGTTCTTTGCATTTTGCTATATATATTTCTAATATATATATATATGTAATATATGTTTCTATATATATTTTGTGACTGACTTTTTAATTTTGAGTTACATGTAAAGGGAATATGTTAGTAATAGACTATGTATTCTGTGATTTTTTGTTTGTTTGTTTTACATTATACTTGTGAAATTTGCAGTACATTTAAGTAGGACTTCCTATGTAAAGGAAAAGGACCTCTGTTGGCAACGTAGCTCACATAATAGAGCTCTAGCACTGGGATGACTTTTAGACATTTCAGAGATCCTATTTCATGTTCTTGCTAGCTTGTTAACTCCTTAGGTATTCCCTTATTGTCCATGTATGTTTGCTTTTGCTTTTCTTGTTTGGCAACAGATACAATAAGAATTTTCAGAAAGTTTCATGCAGAAATACTTGTATAACATAAAATAAGTGATAACATCATTGTAACGGTTTCTTCAGGATGCTGAGGCTGACATTTTGTCCTTTTTATTTTTGCAGTATTGTCATGGAGAGCAGCCATCAAAGTAATTACAAACTCAACAAAACTGAGAAGAAGTCCTTAAGGAAACAGATTAAAGCCAGGCATACTTTGCTGAGACATGAAGGCATTGAGACGGTGCCCTATGCCACTCAGGTGACCTAAAATTATTATTACCACTTGAATGTAAATATGTTGCCATGTTAATGCATTTTATTCAAATTTGTTAATAATTGCCTAGCGATGAGTCTAATTTTTCAGTCATATGTTATACATTCACATTAAATATGCATATAATTGCCTCTGTTTACTTTGTATTGGCCATAGCCTATACATAGCCTATATAGTTTGAATTTCCATTGATTGTGTTTGTTGAGGTAGAGGAATTTGGGAGTATGTACTAAAAATAATCCATTGTATAGCTGTCTTCAGTTTATAAAGCATACTTATATTCATTCTTACAGAGGTTGTGAAGAGAAGTGGAAAGAAAAACATCTTTTCATGATTGTATGTCTTTGTGCAAATGTAATCTTATTTTTAAATCTGATTTAAAATTAAATGGTTTACTATAATTACTCATGTTATTTTCTTTTTTTTTTTTTTTTAAGAGCCTGGTTGTTGCCAATGGAGGTTTGGGTAATGGTATGAGTAGGAACCAGCTGCTCCCAGTTTTAGAGAAATGTGGACTTGTGGATGCTCTCCTAATGCCACCCAATAAGCCCTACTCATTTGTCAGATATCAAACTACAGAAGAATCCAAGAAAGCTTATATTACCCTCAATGGAAAAGAAATAGTAGATGATTTAGGCCAGAAGATCATTCTGTACTTAAATTTTGTGGAAAAAGGTATTATAAAGCCTTTTTTTTTTTTAAAGTAGCTCTTGCTTTTGTATAAGTTTTCTTTTTTTTTTTTTTTTTACCTAAGGTGGGAGTTCTATTTATTGTGAAACAAAATAAGACATCTGCTAAGCATCCCCTTAGTGCTTGAATATATAGAAGTAGGGGCCATAACCTATCTTGTAGGACCTGGTTCCACTAACCTAACAAAAAACTTATTTATGCATGTTATTTGTTTTGGAAATCTGCTGCCTAATGGTGTTTTTCAAAATTTAATGCTAAGGATTAAGCTCTCTAATTTATTTCACAGTGTCTATCCAGAAACTTTCAGTTAATCACTTCAGAATACACTGTGATTCTAATGTATGCCAAGCTTTTTATTTCTGGAGAAATACCTTTAGCTACCAAAGAGCCCTAAAACTTTTTAGTGATGCTGTCCAGTTGAATGCCGTGAGATGATGTGCATTCGTTTCTGTGCTGTCCAATATGATAGTGTGATTATAGAACTGAATTTTTGTAGTAAGTTAAATAAAAGCTCTATAGACTGACTTATTGACTTGCCACAGAGATTATCATATCTTTTTACCACTGTCTAATGGAAATGAGATGTGTTAAGATGAACCTTGATCTAGACATTTAATCTCTGTTGTATTTATTAGCCTCCTGTTTGGGCAATTAGAACCCTTTTAAGATATCCTAGAGTGGGTAGGTAAGTGTAATCTGATCAAATTTATGTTTTGTAAGTAAGACTCAAAGGAAATGTTTAAAGACTCTTGTAAAGATATATTAAGAAGTTAGAATTCTCTTTGTCTATATGTATTTAATTTTAAATCTGATGTAAGCTTTAGAGTTTAAAAATTAAATTATCTATATATTTTATATATTTGTGATCAGTTTTTGAAAACAATATTTTAAGAGTAAGTTCAAATCAGAACAACACTGTCTCCTCCCCCACCCCGTTCACTATGTTGAACACTGTAAGATATTGCAGAAAGTGAATTTTACATTGTTCTTTACTTGAAATTCTATATTAAAAAAATGGAATTCTTTATTAGATGGAGATGTACTTCTAAGACTTGTAACCCTGTTTATAACCTTGGAATAATCTTTAGGAATAAATAGAAAGTAGAATAAATAAAACATAAAACTATGGCAATATTTTGATATTTGTTTTCATTTATACTACCAGATAGACACTGAATAACAAATGTGAGGTATTTTTGATTTTTTTTATTTAAAATTACATTTATGAAACTAAAGAGGAATTTCTTGCATGTAATTTATTTATATGCCTTCAAATAATTCCAACAAAAGTTTCCCCCATATAGTTTAAAGAAATAATATAAAATTTGGCACAAGATAAAAACTCAGTAAATTAAATGGTTTACTACAGTATATTTTTTGAGGTATTAATAATTAAGTAAGATATATATTTTTTATCAATTTTTATGTTAAATTACTGAAACATGAAATTGTCAGAAAAGCTTGGCAAACCATGTTTATAACATGACTGTTCAGAGCTCTAATCATTTTAATTACAATGGTCCCATTATTTAATCATAAATTCCTTTTTTCCTTTTCTTTCTAGAGCTGTGGCTGTCTAAAACTTTGAAGGACATGGGGGCTTAAATTATTATTATTATTTTTTTCACCTCTGAGAGTAAAATATTGTAATAGTTTATTTTTACATAAACTCTGAGAGTAAAATATTGTAATAGTTTATTTTTACATCATTTTACACATTTTTTTTTATCTCAGTTGTAATCCCCGTGGGCTTCCCATCAAATTATTTTAATATATGCCCAATAGTTCTTCCTGCAGTAACACTTTACTTCCTTAGAAAGTTTTATGTTCTTTTACATTTTTCTATTACTTTACAATAGCTAGTCTCAAGAATCTAAGGGCAAAAAGAGCATTTAAATTTTAATTTCAATATTTGGAAACAATCTGATTTTTTAAAAATAAGAGTATCTATTATAATACATGCTGTATATACGATGGGAAAACTTGTTTTCTTAGATTTCAAAAGTGGTTTAATCATATTCCGTCAGAATTGAAGTAAGTAAATTTTAAGTAAATTTAAGTAAATATTCTTATATTTGCCATTGGCAATTGTGGTGAATAAAAAGTACCATAACTTTTATGTTGGTCTTTATTTTCATGTTTTTGATGTTTGCCTTTTGGCATTCTTTATTTTGCAAAGAAGGTTGGCAATTTTATGAACTGATAAATGGTATTGAACAGAAATTATTTGTGTAGGAACTTTAAATTTTTGTATGTGGTTATTTCAATTTGGTTTTTCAGCACAATGGAAAGAATTGGGAGTTCAAGCCTTACCACCAGGACTCATGGTAGTGGAAGAAATTATTTCTTCTGAGGTTGAGACAATGCTTTTGGAAAGTATTAACTGGACAGAAGATACAGACAATCAAAATTGTAAGTAAAACCTTTAAATCTGTTATTTAAAAGTTTCTGCAGTGCCATGGTATTGCTCCTTCTTTTTCCCTTCTCCTTTGGTTTTATTAAAAACTCTTCATATTTCCTCAAAATTGTTAAAATAGCTGAATACAGTGTTAGACAAGATGTGCCAACAACTCTTGGGGGTACATTAATAATAAAAACATATATATGTTATAGTTATCAATTTTAAACTTCAAACTGATTAATATTTATTAGCCAATATTTGCAGCGCTAACATTTATAAGACTTTTCACTTATATATCACATTGGAGCTATTCCCCCCTGAGGCAGATTTCCTCAGCAGAATTAGAGTTAAGTCCATTGCCACCAGCATGTGGTGAGAGCCTCCTGGTGATGTTGCAAATGAGTTAGCCTGTCTCTTTCCAGATCATTGGCATGTTCAACTCTTTTAGGGTGGTTTAGTAAAACTCTTGAAGTGTTTGTTATAATTTTAGACCAAAAAGGCGCCGCCCCCCCTCCCCCAGGTGACACAAAGGGTTAGGACGCAGCACTGCAAGCTAGCTACAGTTGCTTCAGTGCGAGTTCCATCCTTGGCCCCAGGGTGACCCACATGGCATGGCAGACCTCTCCTGACCTGCCCACTGCTCCTCTCAGTATTGTACTTAGTTGATCTGCTTGTTTTGCTCCCCACTCTGTCTCTGGTGAATCCTCTCACCACCTGCATCTCTGGCCTGCACTCCAGTTCTGTATGCATAAATAAGTCTTAAAAAAAAACACACAAAACAATGTCAAACCAAAATGAACAGTAGACATGGTACCTTTGTTAATTTTATTGAAGTCAGTAATTAAACAGCTCACAAAAGTTACCACTACAAGCTAATCATTAACCACAGGTTGACTTTGAGACATAAATAAAATTCTTTTCTCACTAATGTTACTTTCTTCTCTTAACAAGTTCAAAAATCCTTAAAACACAGACGAGTAAAGCATTTTGGTTATGAATTCTACTATGAGAACAACAACGTGGATAAAGATAACCCATTACCTGGGGGTAAGTGATTACTAATGAATAATAAAGGCTGGTTCAGAGAAAATATTTAATATATTAAAAGTTTATCAGAGTTGAGAGTGTGTTTCATTTGCCATTTGTAGGAAATTTTAATAAATATTTAAGATTTAACATAATAAAATGTTCACTACATTAAAAGTTTATCAGAGCTGAGAGTGCTTCATTTATCATTGGTTTTAAAAACAATTGATTAAGGCCCTCCCTGGTGGCGCAGCGGGTTAAAGCACAGCACTAAGAAGCTAAAGCCACTTCCGCAAGAGTTCGATCCCCACCTGCCCCGGAGGTGATCCACATGGCGTGGCAGACCTCTCCTGACCCGCCCGCTGCCCCCCTCAGCAGTGTGCTTCGTTGATCTGCCTGTTCTGCTCCCCACTCTGTCTCTGGTGAAGCCTCTCACCGCCCCTGCATGTCTAGCCTGTATCCCAGTTCTGTATGAATAAATAAATAAATCTTTTTTTTTTAATATTTATTTATTTATTTGTACAGAACTGGGGTACAGGCCAGAGATGTGGAGGGCGAGAGGATTCACCAGAGACAGAGTGGGGAGCAGAACAGGCAGATCGACGAAGCACACCGCTGAGGGGAGCAGCGGGCGGGCCAGGAGAGGTCCGCAACACCAAGCGGCCACCTCCAGGGCAGGCGGGAATCGAACCCATGCGGAAGCGGCCCCAGCTTCTCAGTGCAGTGCCCCAACCCGCTGCGCCACCAGGGAGGGCCCTAAATAAATCTTTAAAAAAAAAAAAAAAAATTGATTAAATTTGCAAAATTAGATGTACAGTCCAGTTTTACTGTAAAAATATCTATGTACAGATAATGCTAAAGTTCCTTTTGAACATTGTCCTCACTCCAGTACCTCTTCACTGAGATAGAACTAGTGACAACTTAGTATGTGTTATCTAATCCGATAATGAATGAGTTTACCAGGCCCTCCCTGGTGGTGTAGCGGGTTAAAGCACAGCACTAAGAAACTAAAGCCACTTTAGCATGAGTTCGATCCCTGCCCCGGAGGTGATCCACATGGCTCAGCAGACCTCTCCTGACCTGCCCTCTGCTCCCCTCAGTAGTGTAATTCAGTGGAACTGCCTGTTCTGTTCCCTACTCTGTCTCTGGTGAATCCTCTCAACGCCCCTGCACCTCTGGCATGTACCCCAGTTCTATATGCATAAATAACTTTAAAAAAAATGAGTTTACATCCTAATATAGGTATCTATGAAAGTATATAGTTGCTAATGTATTATATTGTCTGTTATAACTTATATATTCCTGTAGTTATATGTAGCATTCCAGTTTGTTCCTTTCCCTTAGGATATGTCTTAAAGATCTTATTTGGCTTTTCATTTTATTAGCTAACATTTGAAGAATTGAAATCTATAAGCTTTTTTTAAATAGCTCATTCATAATTCTCTTTGAATAGCTATTTAGGTTATTTCCAGTTTGTAGCTTTTACAAGTAGTTCAGGATGTATATCTTTGTACACACTTTTTTTCTGCACTGTGGGAGAGTTCCCAAGGGAGACTGCTTCTGAGAAGTAGAGTTGTGTCAGTCACGCTCATCTCATCACTATGTTAGTAGATACTGATAAATTGAATCCTAACCCATTGTGCCATCAGGGAGGGCCTCTTCATGATATTTGTAACAATGATTTCATTCGTGTGTAGAAGTTAACAATGGAAATATTTTTAATATGTTTAACCTGTATGATTACTAACTTCAGGTCTCCCTGACATTTGTGATAGCATTTTGGAGAAGTGGTTAAAGGAAGGTTTCATTAAACATAAACCTGATCAGTTGACTATAAACCAGTATGAACCTGGGCAAGGTAAGCATTTCCTTTAAAAATTCTGTCTTATCTACTTTATTTACTACCGCACATTGTATCTCTCTAGGATTTTTATTTTTTTTTAGCTCAAGCTAATTATTAGAGTAATTTGCTTAGGTTTGTTACCTATGTTGCACTTAATTCCTTGCAAATCAACGTGTTGACCTTTGAAGTATTTGTATGTCAAAGTGTGAACAGAGTGAACAGTTGCTGTTTGTAATTTTTTTTTGTTACCCTTTAGGTTTTATTTAGAGAAGTTATTGTAGACTTCATCATAGCCCTGGATCTTAAAAACACAAATCTTAAGTTCTCTCTAGAAGGTCGTTTCAAAAAATATGAGATATGTGTATAGAAGAAACCAAATGATTTACAGATAGGTAGATAACCTCCTTGAAGACTAGTAGCTGAATCATCTTGCTCTTATTTCTCTGTTAAGAATGTGGAAGACAATTCTTGGATAATATATATTTTTTTAAATTCGTTAGGTTACTTATCTTTTGTACTAAGTAGTAGTATTTTCATCCAATGTTTGTAATAATTAAATGATGTTAAGGGTTTTACCGGTGGCAGGATTGTGGGATTTTTTTCCCTGCATTTATCATGATGTTTTATTATAATTATTTACCCATCAACTTTTTCATTGATTTGGAAGCTCCTTGGGACTGTCTTTCTTGGTAAAGAAGTTCATTTTACTTGATAGATGCTCAATTATCACAAACCAAGGAATGGCAGAAGAAGCCATATCTTAATTATTGATGTGCTTAGACTCACACCTGGCTGTTGTTTTGTTCAGAAAGTACTTGGGAATGTGTGTTGAAGGGGAAAAAACAACTTGTTAACTTATCTTTTACATTTTCCTCTTGGATAGGGACTGGGTAAATGTTCTAGTTATGCACTGACTCCTTGTCTTGATTTTAGAATTAAATTCAGTGGCACTTGTTAAGGTAAGATATTTTTATAGTTTAATCACATTCACACTAATTATTTCCTTTTAACTAAAATTATATTTCTGATTATCAGACACTATAGACTCTATAAGAGTATGAAACGATTTTTAGAGTTGTCTTTAATTTACTGAAAGGAAAAATCAAGTGATTCTTTTGTCCATCTTAGGAATTCCTGCACATATTGATACACATTCTGCTTTTGAGGATGAAATCATTTCTCTCAGTTTGGGGTCAGAGGTAATGTCCAAACCTTTTTATTAGCTATGAACTAATACCTTATATATTGCCATTTTCATATAACTTTTTTTGTTTTTCTGTTTTTAAAGATTTACTTATTCATACAGAACTGGGGTACAGGCCAGGGGTGCAGGGGCAGTGAGAGGATTTACCAGAGACAGAGTGAGGACCAGAACAGAAGGATCGACGAAGTACACTGCTGAGGGGAGCAGTGGACAAGACAGGAGAGGCCTGCTGTGCTGGCTGGGAATTGAAATCGTGAAGTGGCTGCAGCTAGCTTCATAGTGCTCTGCTTTAATCCCTTGAGACACCTGGCAGGGCCAGACTTCCCATGTTTTTTAATTCAAATGAATTAGATTTCAAAATGGAAAGTAAAAGCAGCACTTATTTCTTACAAAGCATGAGATTATCACAGCTTCTCCTTTTAGATATCCAGATTTCTATCTTCAGTTCATCAAACTCCTTTAATTTTTACACATTTGTAAAAATATATATGTATTTTTGAAGTTAAATACATTATTTCCCTTAGTGTAACAACTGAAGCAACATTGCCATCTAGTGGTAAAAGGTAGTAGGTGCAAAGTATTGAAAAGAACCACAACTATTTTGTAAAATGCATGTTAGGAATTCTGATAAACTATTTCACATATATTACCTGATTCAGACCTTTCAAAATCGTTGATCAATAGAGAGTAATAGAGTTATTTTTACAGATGAAGAATAAAGGGTCATGTTTATGCATTGACTTGTTTCTATATTTACTTGAATGGCAAAAGAAGCTTAGAAAACATGATTTAAAAAGAGCTTCACACAGGATTTGGCTGTGAAATAACATGTATTTGTAGAAGTGTAAACTTATTCCCCTAAGATACATACTATCTTGTAAATCAACATTATTTCAGTAAATATAACTTAGCAACAAAAAGCCAGAAAGGAGAAAAAGAAAATAATGATGATGCTGATGATGATTAAGTGTTCCATGCAAACTGAAGAATATTAGATAAAAATCAGAATTTTTATTATAATAGTTTATTTTTACATTATTTTGTGCCTTTTTCTATCTCAGTTGTAATCCCTGTGGACTTCCCATCACCATTCACTTGTGGGCTATCACCATAGTCCCACGTACTAACCCCCTCCATTCCCCACTCTACTCCCATAAAATGTCTCTGATATAGTTATTCATTATTATTATTCCCCCCTACCCCGATCCTTTATAGTCCTGCTATGAATGAAACCATCCAGTATTTTTCTTTTTCTTTCCGGCTAATTTCACTAAGCATGTGAAAATCAGTATTTTAAACCTCGATGGATCCTTAAAATATGAGGTCATTTAGTCTAACTAGAGATTGCTTCAAAACCTGTAGGCAAATATTACTACTTATTATTTTGCATTTTTACGGTTCTATCACTAGACCTTCAGTGCTTTGGCTTTTTTTTTTTTTTAGTTCATTCTATTTATTTTAGTTTATTTTATTAAACACTTTTATAGCATGACTGTCTTAATTTAGAATGCTGGGGATATAATACTTTCTATTTAAAAATATCCTTCCTATGGATTTAAGAACATCACAAAAATATGGAACGCTTCACAAATTTGCGTGTCATTCTTGCGCAGGGGCCATGCTAATCTTCTCTGTATCGTTCCAATTTTAGTATATGTGCTGCCGAAGCGAGCACTGCTTTGGCTTTTTAACTTTGCTGTGCTCCTCTCATGCTGATACTGTGACTGAAGAGTCAGTGCTGTTGGTCTGATATGACAAAACTATCTTACCTACCATATTTGTAGATTCTTATGATATGTTTTCAAAAATAATGAAAAGGAGAAAGAAAAGAGGTTGTTCTCTGTCTGATTTATTGTCATTTTTACCTTTACCCTGATTTTTAGCTTTAGAAGACCAGTAAAGAACATCTTTCCCTTTTTCTCTGAACTGAGTAACTGATTGAGAAAAGAGAGAAAAGATAAGTGGAGATCAGTGTGTCACCTTTACTATAGAGAAGATGTGGAAGTGTGACTTTTGGTCTGGATCATGGTCTGTAGCCAATTGATTTATTATTTCACCTCAGAATTAGATATACTTTATACTCCTTGGAATTTGTCCTTGTTGCTGGCACAGCCAGAAAACTGGGAGACCTCCCTCACAGAGGCAGTTATGTCATAGCACATGAAGGATCATATACTGTCCATCTGAATGTGAAAAAGAGGGAGTACTCAGCCAATTAAGCTAATTCCAGCCTTATCAGTCAGCTAAGGTGTGCTTCTTCACCTGGGCAGTTGAAAGTGTGGAAGTGGAGAAAGTTTAGACTTCTTAGACTTTCATTCCCCTGAAATTCACTTCCCTTCTAGGGAATATGAGCAATAAGGAACTAAATGTTTTTCCACTACCAGGTAAGAGCTTTATGTAGTTATTAATGAAAAGTTGTGTAAATAGGAACTGTCTGTGGGTTCTCACCCATGTGCACAATTGCAAGAGACTTCAGGCTCCAGGATCAACAACCATGGGATTTATTTTACAAACAGGGGAAACAAAGGGCTTACAGTATCCACAAGTGGCTGACTATCTCACCCATATAGCATCAGTGATGGCTGCCACCGGTCACCAGGAGTGCTAGACAGTACTAGACAATAGTGATGGTCACTATTGGTCCTTCAGAGGTGGTGTCAGAGACGCAAAGTATTAACAGCTCTTTGTGAGTTAGTTAGGTTATACCAACAACAGCTCTTTGAGACACTAGGCCCAGGGCCTTTGGTGCTGCTCCTTTCAGGCAATCAGAGATCTTCCTCTTCTCTTCCCTCTGTGGAAGTCAGCTGCTGCATGCATCTTTTCCTTTCCCCAGAGGACAGGAATAGAGTCTTCCCCTTCTTTCTTTGGAGGCTGGCACCACTTAAGGAGCTGGTGGCTTCTCTCTTGGTGTATTTTCTCTTTCAGGGAGACCCACCCATAAGTCTCACTGGATCATTTTTCAATCCTGTAGCAGATTGGACCACTTAGCACTAATCAGCTCATAGCTCACACCTGATTGGCCCATTTCACAATCCAGGAAGTACAGTTACATAAAAGGTCTCTGAGGAGCAGCTGCCACAACTGCTAAAAAGGCAGTTAGTGGGCTCTGAGGAGCAACTGCCACAGCTGACTTATGGTGGAGCTGCAGGTGAGATAACACCTCTGCTCCTGCTGACTCCCACCGCTGAGGCAACTGGGTTCCAGTAACAGTTTGAATGATGGAGTTTTTAGTTGAGTATTTTTCTGATCAGGGCTTCCCTGGTGGCACAAGGGTTGTCTCAGCACCAAGTTATCAGCAGCCACTGCAGCAGGAGGTCCTTACCCTGCCAAGGAGCTGACCCACCTGGCACAGATCTCTCCTGTCTCTCCCGCTGCTCCCCTCAGCAGTGTATTTCAGTCATTCTGTCTGATTTTCCCATTTTGTCTCTGGTGAATCCTCTCACTCCCCACTCCCCACCTCTGGCACAGCATATGCTCTTGTATGCATAAATAAATAAAATTATTCTTTTTAAAAAAGTGACTTTCTGATAGCAGGACCATGTGCTACAAGCAATGAGTAGAACTGTAAACTGTTTTGAAAATAGCTTTAGAAGAGAAGTGAATCTTTGTAATTTGGAAAGAAATTTACTAAACTTTTTAACTTTTTAAAACATATTTGAAGATCTTTATTTCTGTTGTAAAGTGGGATTAGTAATGTATCGCTTTCCTGGTGGAAAGATTGTGAGGGAAATAGAAAGTGTTAATGAACGTGAAATTCTCTTGTGTGAGTTGAGAAAATGAAATTCTGCCAACAGTACGTAAAGTGTACTCTCTCCTCTATGGAAGTAGATCCCCTTTATTCACACTTCTACAGGAAGAATAATGGCAAAGAAAGATACTTATTTCTGCCAACAACCTGTGAACACTCTGTTTTATAGTGTGACATTCTAATGTAGAACATTTGCTGTATTTGGAGCCTCAGAGTATTCTATCTTTTCCATTAGAATTTCTGCATTTATTTTGTAGCAGGTTAGCAATATATTACACCACCTATATTGTAGAACTAGAATAAAATTTATCAATTGAGTGCAGAAAACTGTAGTAAAAGTCTATGTAGGAGATATAGTTGGAACCAATAGTTGGCTATTAATTGAAATAATTCACATAAATTGAGGAAAAATAATAAAAGATAAATACACATTGCAGTGATTTTATTTTAACTTACATATAAGTTCACTCACTAATATTTTGATATAGTGCCTATCTGGAAGGGTCCACAGTTGACCTTGTCTTTCCAGTTTCTAGTTATTTAGATTTAACAACACCTTAAGGATATTTCTGAAGTATCTCTCAGATTGTGTGTTTTCATTTCTAGATTTTATTATCAGATTATCACACCTATTTCAGCAGCTAATTTATTCACTTCTGTGAGTCAACAACATTCTACTTAGTTTATATTGAAGCAAGCCAATTTTGCTCACTTAGTTTTCACTACATAATATTTAATAATCACAGTAGCAAGCATAGTTGGCACAAAGAGGTTTGGGGACATACACAATTGTAGTTCAGCTGAGTAGACTAGCAGTACATGAATATACTGGAGAGTTTCCTGTTATTAACAGACATTTAGGACTTGGGTATGCTCTACAGAACAAATAACTTGCCCATGAGTTGCATGAAAAATCTGTGTGTAATTGTTATTTCTAGTGAAATGGTTGTCTCTTAAGAGTTTGTAGTCAAGATTGCCTCAGGCAATTTTGAGAGATAATAAAATACTTGTAGCTTTGTTATTTTTGGTCCTTTTTGCTCCAACTCTAGAAGACAGTTTCTCTTTTCAAAAGAAAATCTCATTGCCTTCTTCATTTGCTACTCACTTATTTTCTCTCATGCAAAACAAAACAAAACAAACATCTTCTTTCTGGGTTTCCTGTATGGGCTAATTGCCCACCAATTGGTCAATTTAGAATCTGGGAAATATTCTAATAAGTATTTTTAAATTATGAATTTTTTCTTCTA